CTGTAATCATACATCATACACTGCAAGAGATTTATCCCAAACTAATAAACTAGAATTACTGTTTAAAGACTTTTTAATTGTTACTACAATAGTTAAGTATAACCTGTTGGAGCGATGATGTAGAGGTGACAAAGACATGGGTTGTGGCACATGGTATAAAACGGCAGCTTTGCAGATATGCTAGACTCAAACGGCTGAATATGACAAAAACAGTACACCTACCTAGTGCCTATATGATGACTTCTGATGTGAAGAATATAAGAATTACTGTTTTAAAAAGCCAACAATAACACAAATTGGAAGCACAATAGTTCAACATCTGTGGCATTTGATAGTCTATAGCAGGGGTCAGCAACCTTTTTGATATGAAGTGCCATTTAAAAAAATATATTTGATCAGCGTGCTGACGTTTGTGAACTGTCAACGGGGGGGGGGGAGAGCTCGACGCTCGTGAACTGTCTGTGATTCTCCAGAACACACAGATGGCCAATCCGCCCCTGTGTAGCATATTATTTTCGATGACAGATGAGCAGATCGCCATGGGCTTTCAACTAAAGACACAGCCACTCAAAAACTGCGGCATGAGTACAGCTCCTTATGGGTACTGCAATTTCTGAAGTGCCGGCGCGGCGTTCTGGTGCGCTCCGGCAGCACTACACCCCTGATCGTTTCACCATGGAGGAAAGCAGCAGAAAGTCGACTGGAGTTAAAGAGAGCGGGGCCCAAAGTTATCCTTCTGCGCTGCGTTGCATGCATGGCTTCCTTCTGCAGGTAACAGGGAGACGCGCTCTGGCGGCAGTCTCGTTCAGGATCCGAAAATACAATTTAAATGTTTTGCACACTTATTCCACTTATTCCACGTGTGCCACTGGTTACGGTACCGCACGCGTGCCTAGGGTTGCCGACCCCTGGTCTATAGTCTTTAATGTACCTTACGCTAACGTAACTTAAGCCAATGGTGAGCCAATGTAACTTAAGCTAACGTAATTTAAGCTAATGGTGAACCAATGTAACTTAAGCTAAAATCACTTAAGCTAATAGTTAGTTAATGTAACTTAAGCTAACGTAATTTAAGCTAATGGTGAACCAATGTAACTTAAGCTAACGTAAAATAAGCTAGCTTCACATAAGCCAACGTGCACTGAGGTGACAGGGGTTTACAAGCCATGTGAATTAAGTTACAAACCCTAAAATACCAACTCATCTGTCAATTTGTCTCTTCTACTGTATATTAAGCCAGACATTGGAGGGGACAAACTCTCCAGACACAACAGCCCTCTTACCCATTATCTCAGCGAGTCTAAATGCAGTGCATTCCACAGATAACACTGACATGGGCCACTTATTATAGGTTGGGTTATGTTTTGCCAAGCTAACACTAAAAACATGTGTTGAGTTATATCTGTATAATCTTAATATTTCCCATAGTTTGTCAACTTGCAACATGATCTGTGTTTGATATCCATTATGCAGCAAATACCCTCCATTACGTTTGGCTTGTTCTTTTACATTTTAAGCTTTATTTGTCAACTGAGATTGACTGTTTTCTTAAATGTTTACACTGTTAGTTTGCTGAGTTTGAAGAACTGCATCAAGACACAAGAGGATTCGGTCCTTTGTATCTTCCTTAATCAACCTGCTACTTGAGTTTTCCTATAGCTATACCAGTATTGGATTGCTTAAAGTTACGTGACTCTTACCAATTAAGGTTTTACTCTTCTTATCCAGCATCACACAAATCCATTCACACATTCTGAGACTTGTTACGTAAACTGCTGAGGTATGCAGCCCCTTCTCAACACTCCTGGGGTAACTGGGGTCAGTGCCTCGCAGTTACCCACACAACTTTTCCCAGGGATCTGAATGACCTTCTGAGGAAACTTTTTGGCAACAAGCCAAGCCTCTAGGCTACCATCAGTGCTGGTCTATTTGTAGAATATTTACATTGAAAACAAAGAAGGACTTCAAGACAGAAGCAGATAATCAGACTTAAGTACACCTACACAACAGTTTAGTTCGATGTAAATAAAAAAGCTGAATGCTTCCCAAAGTAATAACAATTACCATGGTAAGTTTGAAAACCTGTCATTTAGATTTCTTGGCAGAAACACAATTACCATGTCCAAATAAGTTCCTCAAACTACTACAACTTTATAATTCACTTCAATGTTAGCCATTCAATAAAATATGGCATATTTGTACATTTTTTGTTGTGCTTATGCCATCATTGGATATTCAGAGCTGTAGTAGATGTGACGATTTAAGTCTGACTATAGTGAAAATATGAGATTGGAGATGGATTAGAAGAAAGTGATTAGAATCCATTGAGGCTGACATTAATTAAAAGTGACTACAACTGCGTTTCTCTACAGAAGATGAAACAATTAACTTTAAAAAATGTCCTTTTAAAACCTCCAAAAGGTTAGTGTTTGAATAAGACTACGTATCAAGTTATGATTAGAACATTTATTTGCCCTTGAACGTTAAAACTCATACAAGATGTTTTATGTTGAAGTATAATGACTTATCCACAGTTCAATAACATGCAATCTACTGTAGACTACTATGCGTGATATTTTTAGATATTTTTTTTGTATCCCACTTCAAAGTGACCTAAAAGAAATGTATTGCACAACCTTTGAGGGTTCCCTAAGCCTACATCCATCTTCCGGTGATCTGTCAAAGTATAACATGCTTCAGATTTGAACTTAATCATTTCTGACTCTGAAGTCAAACATAATTGGACACACCACTGACAGCTCCATCCAGCCTCCTCTATTCACCAAGCTTTCTTTGCATGTGAGGACGTATGTAAAACAAAAACCAGAACATTACACTTACAGCAGGTATTAACTTGAATTTTGTTTGGAAGAAACACAAAACCAAATTCTCCCACAGTAACAGTATAACGATGTGGCTAATGATAGGAAAACAATGTCAAAATCTCTACATGTCTGAGGGTGACAGTGATGGCTTCAGGAGCGTCACAGGTTTGAGTGTGACACATCGTGATGTCAGGAATAAATGTGTGGGAGGATGCAGAGAAAGCACCGCTGTTTTCATATATTTTTAATGCAAGAAGTGGCTGTAGACCTATGGTGTTTTCGAGGGGGGTTTAAGAGTGGATAGGGAATGTGGAATTCGGGAAATGTATGGGGATGGATTCTGGAATAACAATACAACAAATACTCCCATTAACGGCTCTCCAAATACAATAGATGAGTTTTAGAGAAATATTTTCTTTAACAAATATTTCTTTAACACAAAAAATTCAGATGGTCGGGAGGAGAGCACTGCTTTAGGAGCTGATTGGTAATTACATGGAGCATTGCTTTGTTAAACCTCAGCTCAAAAATGGGTTATAAATACACAAATCTTTGCTTGAAAAGGCCCGCCCATGGGGACACTTATTCACCAATGTACACACATACACACCATCGGCATCGAGCCACCATGTGTCAGGGATTACAGTGGATAATTAAAACCCACAGGAAATATAGTTCAACTGAAGTAAATAGCCTTTCAGTAGATGCAGGAATAAGATAGATTCTAGTGTACATGGTATATTGACAAGTGGTCGATATGAGAGGCGTGTGGTGCAGTGGGTTGATCGTTGGTGTGATCGTTGGTGTTCGGATCAGGGGGGTCACAGGTTCTAACCCCACTGCAGTCAGCATGTCGTTGTGTCCCTGGGCGAGACACTTCACCCCAAATTGCTCCTGTGGGGATTGCCCACAGTATTGAGTATGTTAGTCGCTTTGGATAAAAGCGTCTAACAAGTGACATGTAATGTAATGAGTCATTTTCCCCGTGACTTTTTACTGGATGGGTTGAAACTTTAACAGTGCATCATTACAGGATAGAGTTAGAGGATACCATAAGTTTCCGGATGGCACTAGGCTGAAAAGGTTCTACCACTGATTGATAAGTGAGATAAAAGTGTTAGAAAGTTAACACTGTTGGAAATCAAAGGTTGAGGTGATGAGGAAGTATTAAAATGTCTCCCTAATAGATAATTAAAGTCTAGAATTTACAAGGATAGAGTTGGTTATTGTTCCGCGTCTGTCACCAGCTTCTTCAGATAGGATGGACTTCTTGACATTTAAATTGATCCCCAGCAGCGTACCTGACAGCACAACCTCAGTTAGGATCCATTGTACTTATGTCACTCATTCACCCAACCACTGATACCCAGGATGTACACTTAATGTACAAGAAGGAACATCTGACTTTTGCGAAAACATTCTTACTAATGCAATCATATTAAAAGAGATCCACTAGAAAAGTGCATTTCCAGCATTATAAAAACACACACTAGTCTTAAACCCAACATGATAACAATAGCGTACAATGATTTTTCCGACACCTCTGGAGCTATTCTCAGCAGTGGATACAGTACAAGCACTCCATAAAAGGTTTACTAGAAATAAGAGCTGTTTTGGTTTGCCTAGCATGCCATAATTGCCCTGCTGTCTCACCAGTTTGGTAGATGAAAAAGCTCTTCCTTAACAGGCTCCTGACAGGACTAATGAGAAGATTCCCTTGTAAGGCCAAAAAACCCAAAACCATGCAATCTATTCGGGGATGGGAGCATTCTTTCCTTTGGCATAATAATATGAAAGTTGAACGCTGTGCCCTCATGGGGTTTCTAGGCAACCTCTATGTGGATGAGATCAGACGGGGTCAAGTTGCAGACCCACATACACACAGACCTGTAACTCCAACCATGGATACAATCAGCCACCCTGTTGAATGTCACGCTAATAAAAGTGGACAGATCGCTAGAACTGATACCTCCTCATTCCTCACACACCAAAGCAGCCCCAGACACATATTTTCCCCTAAAAATATGAAATTCAGCTGCATAAACAATTATATTGCCTCACCACAAGTCTGCTAAAGTGAACACACAGTCTTGGTGCTTGACAGTCAGCTATAAAAGTCCCCGTAATTCTCTTCTTTTTTTTTTAAAACACAGATGAAGATCCAGAGCACCATACCTCCTGAGAGCTCAAATAGTCCCAACGTCACACCAAGAGACATATCCAAATGCATCTTAAGCTTCCCAGTTCCATCGACAGTTAGCGGAATAAATAACAAGGGGAAATCAGGCGGTCATGAGACAACATCCAGCGCTGACGAGGGGTTTTTGGTGTGGAGTTCAGCAGCTCCAACAGGCCAAAGAGACTGGAACTGGATCCTGGCTCAGTTCAGTGAAGGGAATCGTGTGGGTACCTGACACCGGTGCAGTGACGGGCAGCGAAACATCAGGAGCTGCTTAATAATGAATGAGCAAGGCCCACACACACACACACACACACACACACACACACACACACACACACACACACACACACACACACACACACACACACACACACACACACACACACACACACACACACACACACACACACACAGCAACCACATGGCTAATAGGGAGTCATACTAACATAATTGGAGACAGGCTTACTGCATGGTCAGGTAAAAGTAGGGTATGACCGTAATCAGCCTTTGCAACTTGACACATGTTGCTAACAAAGTACTCTGTCATCACCCTGCAGCACTACATTTTACACACAGCGGGCCTACACTGTGTTTAGTGCTGGTTTATAGTTGGGATTCTCATAAAACTTGCTTTGATACCTTATTTCATGAAGTTGTAGTGTACCAGCTTTAAACACAAAAGAGACATGGCTGAAGAAAACATGAAGGAGATCTGAATTCTAACCCAGTGCGGTGTTCAAAATAACAGGATTGATGGTTGTTGACTGTATGACTAAACCTCGGCCACACCCACTTTAGAAACAGAAATTGATTGGCTGAGATGCAGTCCTCGTGGCAAAGAAGAGGGGAAAACCCAATCAGAGCCAAGCATCGTCACCAGCTCCAAGAAACAAAAGTAGAAACTGTTTCTCTCCTATGAAATATCACCTCGCAGTCGAGAAAATATAAGCAAACACTGAGGTTAAAACCATAAGACAAAAGTGCATCCATTTAAAAAAAACCTGTGGTTCGACTTTGTCCAAAGATTATGTCAATGCAGAACCCAAAACCAAAAGCGAAATCCAAACACAACACGCATGAAACCACATTGTCATGACATATGTGGTCGCTTTCGCTGAAAAGTATAGAAGGATTTGAGCAAAACAAAACATTCAGGGATTTTTCCAACGTGGCAACACAAGACCACATACCTAAAAATAACTAGAGCATTGTTGTTTGTGCATTGCAATAACAAGAAGATTGCAAAAACACAGGAGGACTCGCTGGTGCTCACTATTTGTGCATCATTGTGCTTGTGATCAGTCCCATTACACACAATAAAGTCAGACTGAAGCATCCTTTGTGCATCAGTCAACCCTCACAGTAAATACAGAGCTGAATCCCACATCAAATGCACGCTAAAGATTCATTGAAAATGTTTTCTCTCAGTGATTGTGATGTTATGTTAAATGTTTGTTGTTTGTTTTTCATGTATTGTGTCTTGACATTTGTCCATGTTGATGTTACACATGAAGCTGCTGTGATGCAAGTCAAATGTCAGACTTGATCTGACCAATAAAGTATTATCGTATCGTATCATACATTGTTTTGAGACACCTATGCTAGCTGGAGTTCTCCATTAGAAACCAGAACCCTATGACATGCAAAAGCCATTATCAAGGTTTCTAGTCATTCTCTGATGGCACAGAAAGTAAAGGCTAATGTGTTTGGGAATGAAGACACATCTGCAACCCATCCAAAGGCCCAAAGCATGACGGGGGATCGGGGCATCACGTTCAGAAGGAGCCTCAGTTTTGGTCCATGTGACATCATGTGAACCATCCAGACAGTATAAAAATGTCTGGCACACATCCCAGTCTCCTTAGAACTAACATCCACATTTGACAATCTTGCACCTCGTAATTTATGTCCAGAGCACGCTCGGTGCCAATGCTGCCGAAAGTAGCGTGCCCTACATGTAGCGAGGTGGAAGGTAAGAGTGGTGGATCGTCATGAAGTGAGTTAATGTAGGAGGACGGAGTTTGCTTCCCATTACAGACCTGCAGTTAATGGCGGTATTTTATTAACTATGACCATTCTTTTCTTTACTGAGCCAAGTGTTGAGATGCCTGACCCTGGTCGTTCCTGAACAATATATTTGTTGCAGAATCTTTCCCAACCTTAAACACACTTTAGTTGCCATTTGCAGATATTTAAAGAAGCGTGAATTTGAAAAAATGCTTGACAATACTGGCCAGTACATTCATTTATTAATTTACTACGAAGAAATTACAAAATCAAAATCTCATATGAGCTGTTTCATCTTTAACATCTGCGGATTATCTCGGTAAATAAATGTTGTTGTCCTCTCTCTGGCTTAAACCCCTCTTCTACCTATAGCTAATGTAATTCTACCATGTGAAGATCCATCTTAGTCCTTATCTATCATTGATTTCAACAGATTGGAAAACATTTATTACAACATTTATCATACTAAACAAAGCATCATAATCTTCAGTACTAAGGAAAGTCGAAAACAATGCAGAACTCATGTCGTGTGTACATGTATAGACAACACCTCATACCATTTTCTTCTTCAAGATAAAATACCATCTGAACATTTGAAATCTTTGATTTATAGAAAATTGATGTTCAACTGAAAACGTCCCCTGGATGAGTGGAAAAACATCTTCTTCTCAACAGAACATTTCCACCTGGTACCAACAAGAACAGCCTGTTATTTACCGCTTAGACGTCTCAATAAAACAGCAAGACCTCAGCTTCCCTGAATGAGAAGACTCCATAAAAACAACCTATGAAGACTTTTTGGGATTGTAAGGTTGTTGTATTCTAATTAAAGGATACAAAGCCTATCAAAAAGACTGTACGTTGAAATATACCCTACAAAGGATATCATAGGACCAACATGTACCGTAAATACGTTCATTGGGACTTTTAACAGTGATCTTTCAATATTTATTTTGAGGTCAATCTTTAAAATGTTAGGGGATTATGACAGCAGTTACAAGTTTTATCTAGATGTGTTGTTCTTATGTATTTCGATGTTAACTATACACTTTATTTTGGCTAAACGTATTGACCTTAAAATGTCAAAACCTTCTAACAAAGAACTGCATCTTCAGCAATCTACTTAGAAGGTCCACTATACTTTTCCACCACCGTGTAAAATATCATGGCCAAAGTTTTGAAGTTAGTGATAAATTCTTGAGAAATCAGCTTCCAGGTTGGACCTCAGGCATGTGGCCAAAGCAATCCTTTGAAGCAGATTCCCGACAGCTGCAGGAGCTCTCAACCCTCAGCATCATTGCCTGATTTCCCCTGTCAATCAAGCCAAGAATGACGTCACTGGCATTTATGTCACGCTGCTGCTTCAGTTAGATGGAGTGCCTTGGAAATGGCATTGGTCCAGTTACGGCCCACTTTTACATGTCAGACCGACCAGGCCACTACAAAACATGGGAGAGAAGCAAGATCCATACGCACGATTTATAGCCAGCTGTCTGTCTATCCATCTCCGCCCACGGGCACCTACAGTACGATGTAGATTCATGACCTCATATCCAACGGCGCATCGTAAATAAACCTTGGATAGATACGTGGTTTAGACACCACATTTGGGGTCCTGAGTAGCCTGATATTAGGGGGCCACACGCAAAATGTCTGAGAAAAAGAGAGTGGATTGGGAGGGGAGGAGGCCGTAATAGCAGCAATTCCTTGCGAGTCAACTCTCCAGCTGTTTGACATTAGGTGGTGGGAGTGAATTAGGTGGGCTGGGTCCATGTGTGTGAGTTTAGGGTAGAGGGGAAGAGTAAGAATCGAGGGTGGAGGATACGTCCACTGCCCAGATCTGAGACGAAGGAACACAGGCACCACTTCAGGGCAGGGTGGAATTTTTTTCAAGGCGTTTTCCTCAGACTGTTATTCCAGTTGTGAACTAAAGGCACATGCAGGGTAAATGGGACACACATGGGGTCAATGTGATAAGTAAATATCGGCTGTACAAATCGCAAAGGTATGCAGGAAAAGCTCCATATGTGCCAACCGAGATCACACGTGCCACTTCAAAAAAGCCATTTCAGTGCTATTTTTTCCACTTTGGGCACGAAAAGTAAACACATGTGAGAGTTTTTTAGGGTAATTACGTCTGGAAAACATTCTGCCATGTCTCATTTCCTATATACAGAACAGTCTCAAGAATAAAACCTTGATTTTAAAGGGAGATATGCATCGTCCACAAGGTGTAACAAATGATTGCTCGCATGGTCAATAGTTTTTAGATTTTTTACAGGTTAAATTAAATGATGGATAGAATATAAGGAAGGACAGTTATGCACAGCAAGACTAAAGTCCTATAAGGTTTATTTAAAATGTTAATTTTTTATGCAAAAATACCAAACATTCACAAAATGTTGCTTCTTAATTTTGATGGATTGGGTTTATCTCCATCTGATTTCATCATCTTGTTCAGCAACTTGTGATGTATGATCTTTTTTTGGACATTTTGTAAACTAAATAATAATACAAAACTTTTGAAAACAACTGGCAAATGTGTTGATATTTCATTGACTCGTGAATTCATTGATAAAGAGTTGCAGTTAGATCTAGTATTTGAGTGGCAATCAAGACATCATAATGATTAATTTCAGAAAATTCTGCTCAACTATATAGTAATTTAGTTCTACTGTACGATGCCATTGCCTCCTCTGAGTTGCAATCACTGCTGTTTGAAGCTGTAAGAGCTGACAGAAAGTACTAAGAAAGGATTGTTGGAGGTTACCCAAACAGAAGATGACACCACTAGAGAGAAGGAGTAGTAACTCCTTAAGACTCCCAAAGGTGCTCTCAACAGCGCCAAGACTTCTTCATGAGGAGGAGGGAGCGATGACCTTTCTTCTTCTAATCACACAGCAAACAGAAGCTCAGGAGTACTGAAGCCTCCGTTTCTCCTCATGATCTCCCCAATGAACGGAAACAAGGGCCTCAGAGCAAATACAGTGGATGGCAATCACA